CCTCCTCCTCCTCCTCGACGCTTAACATATCTCTATTAGCCCATCCAAAAACGATTTTGAGGTGGGTTGTTCCGGGACGGGTGCCAGAACTGCGTAGAGACGATCCGCCATACAGTAGGAACTCGACCACGATAAACCTTTCACAAGAAACCCAACCCTGAGACCCCAGGACGCCCATTGATTTTGGGTGTGGGTAAAACCACGCGTTCCATCACAAAACCATCGAAGCCCGAGAAACCCATGGCGCCCTGGAGGCAAGCAGGGTGTCGATTTGCATGGGCTTCCACTGTATGACGCTCATGGCAGAGACACCTTTGCAGACGCAGGTCATGCCCGTGTGCATCTCGGCCCTGGCTCATGCAGCGGCTCAGTACTGCGCAGCAGTTTCGCCCTGATCGGGCCGATTTCAACGGGCCCAGTCGAGAATGCGCTGAAGCTGGATGGCCACACGGCGTGCCTCGGCTGCCGGGGCGTGTTCCCGCGGCTCCAGCCAGAGCTCCATCTTGCCCCGCTGTCGAAGAACATGGGTCTCGTCTTGCCGTGTCTTTTCCCTGTCCCCCCTTTTTCAATAAGAAGGGTTGGTGCATCTCTTCCTCTCGATCCCCCCTCCTCGTTGCCATGATTGCCATGCTCAGCACGCTCGCTGCTTCGCCCAGTCGCACAACCTGTCTCAACTTATCGCCAGCTCGCCTCTGTTTTGCTCGGCCTCTGGCGTCCTGGCCTGCACCCTCCTGGCCCTCTGGACCGTGCTCTGTGCCGGCACCGCGGCCTGCCCTCCCGGCCTCCCGTGGACGCGGCGGTGGCGGCAGTGGTGGCGGCGTGGCGGCGGCAGGCCTGCCCACACCCGCGCCGGCCATCGGCTGCTGCCCGTCCCCGTTCGTCCCCCGCTGCCGGCCTCGATCACCGTGCCACCAGCCTGGCCCGTCGGATTCCCACCCCGCCCAAGCGATCTCGAAGACGAAAACACGCCACAAGCATGGCGCTCCGCGCGGAGTTCTTGGGCCCGCGCCAGGCCCCCCGTTGCGCGGCGCCTCCGGCGCCGCCCCTGCCGCGCTTCGCGCGCCAGGGAGGAGGGTCCGGGCGGATCCAGGAAATCCGCGCGTTGCGCAAAAGAGTTACGTTTACGCTGTGCTTCTTTTCTTCTGCCAGCGCCTCGCTCCTGGATTTCCATTTGTGATCTTGCGCCTCTGTGTTCTGGAGCTCGGAGCTCCTGATTTTCGTTGTAGTAGTCGTTCTCGTCCCCCCCCCCGCCTGGCCCTCGTCCCGGCCCGCATCGCTACCTGATCGTGCCAGAGGCAGGGCACGGTAGCTTCGTGTCGTGTCGACCGGCGGCGTCCCCGCCAGCGGCGTTCAACGTTGAATGCCGCGGGCGACCCAAAATCGTTCGATGTGGAACGCTTCGGACGTCTCGGAAACGGCCGATCGTGCAAGGCTGAACGATCCCCGCGGTGTCAGAAACCAACGCCCAAATCGGCACGACACGAGCCTGATGCACGCGTGCCACGCGTGCTTTCACGCAGGCGTCCGATCCTGGGCCCGCTGCGGCATGCCGGGGCCCGGCCCGTGCGCGGGCCAGACCGCAGGGGGCAGCGGAGAGAGCCGCCGATGGCCGCCGTAGAAGCTGCCCCGGGCATGCGACGTCTTGGCTGTGCCGAGGCTCTCTGCCTTCCGCACAGTTGGATCGGAGCAGACGTAAGTCGGGCATGTCCCTTCACGGAGGGAACAGCCAAAAGGAGTCAGAAAGTAGTGTGGCGGACCATTGTCCAATCCTTTTTTGAGTATGTTTGATGACTGTTTTTAAGAGTAGACGGAGTCGGAGGATCGTGCCGCATCGCCGATGCATCGGCGATGCAGCTCGATGTGGAGCCCGATGCTTTCCTCCACGCCGACGTCGCCGATGCGTTCTCGATGCGCCCCATCTGCTCCGACCCCATCGGGGAAGCCTCTGCACACGTGGTCCCCGGACGTCCCAGCCCTTTTCCATCCCGGGCCCGTTTTGGAACGCTCCCGGGCCGAAAGCGGCCAATAGCCTCCCGCACCGATCTGTGCGCACCACGGCAGGGGCGTGGCTTGACCCGCACCGTCGAGCGCCGATGGGCTGGCGCGGGCGCCCGCGGTCACAGAGGCGGCAGCCCCAGCGCTGCCCGCTCCACCCGCCGAGGCTCACGCTGCTGCAGCTCGGCAAGGGCTGGCGCATGTGGCGGGGCGGGGCGGCCAGGACGCAGCGCAGCAGCTTCCTGGAGGACCCCCGCGCGGGGCCGTCGGACGCGGGGGCGGGGGCGCGTGCCCTCTCGGACGGGCGACGAGCGCTGCCGCATCCGCGCCCTCGCAGCCTGGGTTCTGGGGCGCGATCCTGCGGATGCCTGGTCGCACGGATACTCGGGCCAGTGCCAATTGGGGGGGGCAGCGAGGGCTGTAGAAAATGGGCGTCTCAGGGCCCCCAAAGTGCCCCTTCAGGGTCGAAAAGGGGACCTGCAGGGCGCTACACGTGTACTTTTCTTAGCCTCCCACTGATCGCCCCCCCATTCAGAGACGCCCAAGATACGTTCCGCGCGGGTATCCGCGAAAAGCGTTCCATATTTGCGGGGTCGCGGCCCTGGGGCACAGCCTGCGTGGCCGCGGATATGGAGATGTTTTTCGCCCGCCACTTTTTCACCCGATTGCTGTCTGACTCGCTCGTTGCTCTCTTCGAAGCATGCTGCAGGCTGTCTTGAGCCATCGTGCGCAATCTTGCACAACGTAGACACGGTGGGCAACATGGAAACGGTGGGGAGATGACATAATGCAGTTTCTACTGTCTACGAGCGGGGTTGTCATCAGCAGCTGGCTGGATATCGCTGAGAGCAAACAATTCTGGAACAGTTGGGGAAACGATTTCCTCTTTCCTCGACCAATTTTGAGAAGGCTCCGGCCCGCCCGCGCTGCCTTCAAGGGGCCCGCCAGCCGGCCGGGTCACGCATCCTGCGTCCTGTTTCTTGCGCTACCTCGCTCCAAAGTGAGGTCATCGAGAGCTACGTGAGGCCATCCTTGTGGCCATCTCAAGCCCACATATCCTCCATCCCCTCGCGAACCCCCCCGTCCAGGCCCAGGGGAGGGGTAGGGTGGGGGGTCAAGACACCTCCTGCTCAGAAGACGCAAGCCGTCTCGCTCACTCCCGCCCGCCCTCCAAAGTTACATTCGGACGGTGTCGGGCCGACCGCGAATGCTCCAGATTTGGAAGCCACTTGTGTGTTCTGTATCGCAGTTCTGCTCGCAGCAAGCAATCTGAGTGCACCCCCGCCGTCCCGATTTAAAAACCAATGCGCAAAGTGGTCGCGGGGCTCCCGGGCATGCCTCAGATTTGAAGGCACAGCGTTGTATTGCTCGCGCAGAAGAGCACAGGCCCAGGGTTCTCCTCTAGGATGGTGGTCTGGTCCCCGGTGCCACGTTCTTCCGAGCGCTGGCGGATTTATTCACGATGAGTTGCGACATCGAAGAGAACTGGCGGATTCAGTGTTGAGGATGTCCCGAGCGAAACGTTGGTTTCTGAAATTCCGATCGGTAAACACACACTGAAGTATACATGTTCGTTTGTTGTGGATGTCTCAAGCGAAACGCTTGTTTAGCAGAGTGTGTTGAGGATCTCTCGAGCGAAACGTTTGTTTTGTCATACATTTTGTTCCTTTACCGGGGGACCAGAATTCAGAGGGCGTCTCAGGCGAAATGCTTGTATTCATGTGCCCAGGTCGCCCGTGGAGGCATCCAACATGGTTGTCCCCAGATGGGACCACGTGTTTTCACGTGTCCAGGCCACCCATGGGGGTATCTAAAATGATGGTCCCGCGCTGGAAACATATGTTTTCACATGTCCAGGCTGCACAGTGGGGTGTTCAACATGGTGCCCCTGAGCTGGATCACCGTGTTTTTACGTGTCCAGGCCACCCAGGAGGGGTATCCACCATGGTTGCCCCGAGTTGGAAACACGTGTCTTTACGTTTGCGGGCCACTTACGGAGGGGGGTATCTGACATGTGGTCGTTTGGGGCCCCCCAGCTTTGGGGCCTGAAAGAGCCAGACGCAATCAATATGTAGATCGACACCAGGTATATAATACCTTGACACAGTTTCTCCGGCTGGTAATCTTTCAGATTCCCCCTTGGGGTTTCTAACATTGCGGCCCTGGGCTGGAACAACATGTTTTCACGCGTCCAGGCCACGTATCCCATTACATCCCCGTTGAAACCTCGCCGAGGACAAGTGAGACCACTTCAGGGGCCTCACTGGCAGTACCCGGCTGAGACTTCAGATGCGCGGCAAAAAACAAATTTTTAGCTGTATCTAACATGGTGTCCGCGAGTTGATACCACGTGTTTTCGTGTGTCCAACCACCCAGAAAGGGATATCGAACATTGTGGTGCCCCGAGCTGGAACCGTGTGCTTTCACGTGCCCAGGCCACCCAGGGGGGATGTCTAACACTGCGGTTCCGAGCTGGGACCACCTGTTCTCACGTGCCCAGGCCACCCAGGGGAGTATCTAGCATGGTGGTCCCGAGCTGTGATTTCTTGTTTTCACGTGCCCAGGCAGCCAAGGTGGAGGCGTCTCAGATGGTTGCCCCTTGCCCCTCGCTGGACCAATCATTTCACGTGTCCAGGCCACCCAGAAGAGCATCTAACCTGGTGGCCCCGAGAATAAACCATTCTTGTCACGTGTCCAGGCCACTCAGTGGGGTTTCTAGCATGGTGCCCCCTGAGCTGGAAACGCGTGTTTTCATGTGTCCAGGCCACCCAGATGTGTATCTGGCATGGTTGCCCCGAGTGGCCGCGCTCAGGCCTTAGTGGACTCCTGGGCAGGGCTGCGTTCGTCTCGCTCGTGGCTCGGACTCTGTCCCTTCGGTGGCTCGACGCAGGCCCGCGCGAGACCGCGCGCGCCGGCGCGCGCGCGCGCAAACACGCCGCGCGCACGCGCGCACGCGCGCGCACGTGCACTCGCACGCGCGCACATTCTCACATTCACACATTTACACTTCCACGCATTCACGCATTCACGATTTTACACATTCACACATTCGCACATTCACGCGTTCACGCATTCACACATTCGCACGTTCACACATTTACACACTACACATACACATCTACACATTCACACATTTACGCATTCACACATTCATACGTTCACACAATATCACGTTCACACATCCACACATCCACACATTAACGCATTTACGCCGCATCCACGCATTAACGCATTCACACGTTCACACATTCAAACATTCACACATTCACACATTTACACACTCACATAATCTTACATTCACGCATTCACACAATCACAAATTCACACATTCACACATTCGCGCATTCAAGCATCCACACATTCGCACACCCACACACCAACGCATCCACACATCCACACATTCACACATTCGCATATTCGCACATTCACATCTTCACACAGTCACACAAGTCACACATCCACACATCCACACATTCACACATTGAGGCATTCACACATTCACACACGTTCGTGCGTTCACACATTCACACAGTCACACATTGACGCGTTCACACATTCACACTTACGCATTCACGCATTCACGCATTCACACATTTTCACATCCACATCCACATATTCACACATCCACACATGCACACATCCACACATTCACACAATCACACATTCACTCATCCACACGCACACGCATACGCGCGCGCACGCACGCACGCGCGCGCACACCCACTCCAGCACGCGCGCACGCACGCGAACCACGCGCGCGCACGCGCGCACATGCACACGTGCGCGCGCACGCGCGCACGCGCAAGCACGCGCACGTGCGCACGCACACGCACGCGCGCGCGCGCACGCACACGCGCACGCACACGCACACGCGCACGCACACGCACTCGCGCACGCGCACGTGCGCCCACGCGCACGCGAACACGAACACGCGCGTGCCTACGCACATGCGCGCGCGCGTGTGCCCCGCGCGCACACAAACTTTTGGCGGTCGCGGCCTCGCGCGCAGCGACGATGCGACGCAAGTCGCGCACTGGCGCGCGCATGCCCACACACGCACACGCACACACACACACACGCACACGCACACACACACACCGCCCACCCGCCCGCCCGCCCGCGCGCGCGCACGCGCGCACGCACGCACGCAGGCACGCGCGCACGCACGCACACACGCACGCACGCAGTCACACACACACACACTTTCCCACGCACCCGTACACACACGCACACACACGCACACGCATGCATATACACGCACACGCACGCACGCACACACACACACACACACGCACACGCGCGCACACACACGCACACACACACACCCACACACACACACACACGCACACACACACGCGCACAGGCACACACACACACACGCACAGGCACACGCACATACACACACACGCACACGCACACACACACACACACGCACAAACGCACACACAGACACACAAACGCGCCCGCACGCACACATACACACTTACACGCGCACCGTTGTTCTATTCTGGTGCGCCGCAGGAGTGCAGTCGGCGGGCCGAGCAAACCGAAAGTTCCCCCCCAGCGATGTCGAGCCAAGCCGGCTGCTGTGAGCACATGACCCCGCGCGAGGCCACACGCACACGCGCAAGCGCACGTCCGAGCACGTGAGTAAATATTGCAACGACCTGCAGCAGCCAAAGGAGCTGCTGCAGCTTGCCTCGAACCCAGGAGCATCCGAAAGCTCTGCTGCCTGCAGCGCGCGCGCCGGGCGCCGGGAAATCCAATCTCGTTGCGGCGGTCACACCGTCGGATGAGGCAGTGCGGACTCGGGGTCGCCTCACCGTTGTGGGCCTTGGGCAGTTCGTTCTCCGTGGACGTCTCGAGCGACTTGGGCCTCCGAGGTTCGGGGGATTCTTTTAAAAGTGCACTTGGCAGGTGCATGAACATGTGGTGCGTTTGTCGGGCTCATAGATGGTAGTGTGGCTTGCGAGTTATCGCGCAATTGCGCTCCCAAAACGAGGTTTCTGGAACGAGGAAGTCTGCACCTTCGAGCTACGAGGCACCAGTTCGCCCCCCCCTCCCCAAGAGGTCCCAAACCCGTGCGCTGACGAAGGATTGTGCAGTGAGGCTTTTGGTAAGTTCGAGGCCGCCGCACCGAAGTCTGGGGTTTGTGCCTATTTGGTGCGAAGGCTTTGCGGCCTTCGCCGCCGACCCCGAAAAGGGACGACGACCACGACGGCGGCGTCGGAGGAGACGACGACGCTGACGTGGGGCAGAGCCTTCATTGATGCTGTTTTGGGCCTACTCGGAGCCCGTAGGCCTCTAGGGTGTTAGTTTGGGGGCCTCGTTTGCTAGCATGTTTGGGGCCTCCTCAGGTGCCCCTTCGGGCTTCCTGGAGGCTTCTTTGGGGCCTTTTGGGGCCTTCTGGGAGCTTCTCAGGGCCGAGGGCTCGAAATGCTCGTTCGGGCTCCCGTGGCGGCGCCCACTTGGAACAGGGCTGTCAGGAGGCGAGTTGTGGCTTCTTGGACCAGGTGTTCGGCGATTCAGGCCCGTGGATCGGCTTGAAGGCATCTTGGGCTGTCTTGGAGCCGCTTTGGGCCCCAGGATCCCTGGGGGAGGATGGTGCAGGACCCCCCCGAGGCCCCCCCGCAAGACCCCCCGGGACACTCCCAAGGCCCCCCTCGGGACTACATTTTTTCGTCGGCGGCGAGGCAGACTTGGCTGCACCAGCGCTAGAGCTAAACGGGGGCACCGAGAAGCGAATTGGCCCAGAGCGGGGAGGGGACAGACCAGGCGGCCGCGGAGCCCCTCGGGACCACACACACCCCGGGGGGGAAGGGATCAAAGGGAAGGGGCTCCCCTTCGACTCAGCTACGACGCTGCTCAATTTCGCCTCGGTTTCGCTTTGGCTGGCTCGCTTGCAAACGCGACGACGACGACGACCACGACAAGGACGACGACGACAAGGACGACGACGACAAGGACGACGACGACGACGACGACAAGTCAAACAGAAGAGCGTCTTCCACACGCCGACGGTGTCGGCGAATTCGTGTGTCCCTGGGCCCCTTGGAGATCGCCCCGCCGCCCCCCTCGCAGGGCGGGCTCCGGCTCTTCCTGATGATGGCCTTCTGGGCGCACGTGGTGGGCTGCCTGCAGCTGCTCCTGGGCACCCTCGAGAGGAGCTGGGGGAGCCGCAGGCTCCTCCCACCGTTTCCCACCGTCGTCGGCATCATCCCGAAGTCAATGAAGGGCCCCAGGGGCACACCAATGAATATACAAATCCTGCGATTCTCTGTTTTTCTCTGCAGTTTTTGGATTATCGTCTTCCCCCTCGTTCCATATATATATATATATATATACACACATAGTTTCCTATGGTTTTCTGGGGAATCGACGATGAACTGTATCTGTGTGTGTTTTCCCCCTCCTGAGTCAAGTGTCCATCGTCAGCTTCCTCCCATCCCGCCGCCCTCCCTCCTTCCCGATGCAGCTTTGAGTGCAAGATGCAGGCGCCCGCGTTCTGCAGCGTGTGCTCAGCCAACTTGGGAAGCAATTTGTTCAACAACGTGGCCGTTCCACCGATCCCACAAATGGTCGACGGCACGCTCAAATCTCAGATGGCCGCTTCCTTTGCGTCTCGCACCTTTTTCCCCTGCTGAGCCCATGCGTCGTGCGACATGGTTTGTGAACCGACCGACGATTCGGTTCGAGATCGATTCCAGCTGGCCTGTTACAGGCCCTCTCTCCTCCTCGTCGAGATCAGCGGCGTAAAAACGAGGGGGGATGACTAGGGGTGCGTGTGTCCCCTTCAACGTATTCCCTGGCCCCCCCCCTCCGCAGCCATTCCGGCTCAAGCCGTTTCGCTAGTTTTTTTTCCGACAAATTGATCCAGAGGTCTTCTCATGCGTTGTCACATATGCTGGTATTCACTCGCAGCCATATTCATTCATTCTGCATTCACGCGTGCTGATATTCGATTATACTATTGAGGAAGCATTATACCCGGAAGCGCGCATGACGCCCCCGCTCTCCCCCTCCTGCGTCCGATACTTTTCTGCAATCTGACCGCCCGTAGGAACGCACACCGCACGATGTGTGACCCTGAGCAACACCAGGTAGATACCACATCGAAGGTCCAGCGAGCGGGTCACGCGGTCGCCAAAGGTAGCCCAAAGACATCTTGGGACAAAGCAGAAAGCACGCGGCGGCATATTTCCGAAGACACGCCGACATGCAGCTACATAGATATGTGTGCGTGTGCGCGTGTAGCTCTCGCTGGTGTTCGCAGTCAGAGATCGCCGCATCCGCCACCCGAGCAGCGACTCGGGGATTCGTCGCGAGGTTCATTGTCTGCCCTGCGCGGGGGATGCACGCCAGACCGTGCACCAAAACTGTCAACCCGCGGAGTCAGGATGCGCAACTTTCCAAGGTTGCCCCTGCAATCCTTCCCCGTCCGCCCATCCGCCCATCCGTGGCCGCTTCCGCCGGTCGCGCCCCGCCTGCAAAGTGCCGGCGTGCCTCTCCGGACCCTGCCCATCGCCGATCAAGGAGTCAGGCAACCCGATGGGCGGAGGGGGCAGGGCTTGGAGTTCGTCGAACGCGGTGCTCAATCCGAACCCGAACCCCGTCTGCCATCGATTCAGGAGAATCGGTCGGTGGGGGTAGGGTTCGGATGTCGCCACGTACCCATCCATGGTTACGGGTTCGCCCCCCGTTGCCTCACCGATTGCCTCGCTCCTCCCCCACTTCCTCCCGTGAGTTTGGGGGCGTGCGGTGGTGTGGGGTGGGAGTGTGCGCGCGCGTGTGTGTGTGTGTGTGTGGCGGTCTCTCCGTGAGGATGTTCGGCCTGGGGATTCGGGGCCCCGCTTCAGCCGTCCGCACTTTTGCTCCCTCCCCCACTGGTCGCCTCCGCCCCGCTTGGTGTTGACGTTGACGTTGACGTTGACGTTGGTGTTGGTGTTGGTGTTGGTGTTGGTGTTGGTGTGTGTGAGCGTGCGTGCGTGCGTGCTTGCGTGCGTGCGTGCGTGCGTGGGTGCGTGGTTGCGTGTTTGTGTGTGTGAGAGAGAGGGTCTGTGTGTGTGGGTGGGTGTGAGTGTGTTTCAGTGTCTGAGAGAGAGAGAGAACAGCAACAAAAAATGTGTGTGTGCGCGTGTGTGTGTGTATGTGTGTGTGTGTGGGGGATGTGTGAGTGTATGTGTGCGTGTGTGCTTGTCATCCCCTTTTGCATGGTGGCACAATTCGCTTAACGGCAGCCCATTGTCGCTTCTTCGCCAGAGCAGTGAATCTGCCTAGCCGCCGACGAAAGCATGTGTGTTTGTGTGTGTGTGTGTGTTTACGCGTGTATGTGTGTGTGTGTGTTTGTGTGTGTGTGTGTGCGTGTGTTCCTATGTGCGTGTGTGTGTGTGTGTGCGCGTGTGTGTGTGTGTGTGTGTGTGTGTGTGTGTGTGCGTGTGCGTGTGTGCGTGTGTGCCTATGTGCGTGTGCGTGTGCGTGTGTGTGTGTGTGCGTGTGTGTGCGTGTGTGTGTGTGTGTGTGTGTGTGCGTGTGTGTGTGGCGTGCGTGCGTGCGTGCGTGTGTGCGTGAGTGCGTGTGTGCGTGTGTAGGTACGTGTGTGTGTGTGTGGTTGTGTGTTTGTGTGTGTGTGACTGTGCGCTCCGCCGCCCCGCCGCCCGCCCCTGCTTCATCGCCCGCTGCACCGCTCTGGCCTGCTCAGCCGGCCGTCGCGCGCCCCATTTGCCGTCTCCCTGCGTCCCCCGCGCGGGCGCCCTGTCCGCCTGCCGCCCGCTGCTCCCGTTTTTTTTCGACTGCTAGCCGCTAGCCTCCGCCCGCAATGCGGTTGCTGGCCCCATCGCTTGGGTGCGCCCGCGACGCCGCCCCGCGCCGCTGCCATGGGCTGTCCCGCAGCCTGGCCGCCGCGTGCGCTTCCCGCGGCGCCGCCGCGTGACAGCGCGCCTCTCTCTTTCCCCCCCCCGCGGCCGCCCTCTTTTGGACTTCCTTCATTCTTGCACGCAGGATAATTCGCAACGCCGTAGCCCAGGTTGCTCTCAACGCACGAGCGGATCGTTTCTGCCGCGCCGCGACACGAAAAAAAAACATGTGATTGTGTGTGTGTGCGTGTGTGTTCGTGTTCGAACGTATTCGTGTGCGATTGGGCTACGTGCGCGCGTGCGTTGTGTTGTGTTGTGTTGGTGCGTGTACGCGTGTGCGCGCGCATGGGTGCGCACCCCCTGCGTCCCATGTGGGCGTGGGGCGGGGATGCCCGGGAACCATTTTTTATTGTGCGGTGGCCCGCCGTTTTTTGAGCCCGATACTAGATGTGCGCAAACAGATGAACGAAGGCGGACCGACTTTAGAACAGCTTGAGGTTTTTTCCTGGACTGTGTACTCCTCGTTGGTGGCCAACCTCCTGGAGTCCGTGCGACGCCTCGGACGTTTCTCGTTTGTTGGTGGCAGTATGTATTCGCGTCTGGAGCATCTGACCCGAATCTGCATTCCACGCTTTCCCTTGTCTGGAATCGATAATGTTTTGCCTTGCTTTTGTTGGGGGGCGGGCCGATGCATTGCACTTTCATCGATTACTCTTGCGTCGGACCCAGCCCATCTGCAACGCATGGCCACAGCAAGCGGCCACGTGGTGCCAGCTGTTGACACGTCGCATACCTCACCGCGCCGCAAACGCTGAACGGGAGGCCCGCGCGTTGCACGGCGCGGGGGGGAGATTGGGGAGCGATTGCGCCGCAAGATTATTCTAACCCGCGTAGCACCACATTGTCGCCGTCCCCGTTGGAACACACAAGCCGTTTGACAGTTTCACAGTTCGCGGCGCCCCGGGGGGTGGCGGGGTCGAATTTGGATCTGCCGTAGGACGTCAGTGCGACCCCCCCCGGGAACCAACGACAATTTCGATAGTTTCGCAGTCGGAATTGAATTTCCCCACTGCGCTGGGCCGCCCAAGCAGTCCACGAAAGTTACACTTTCGCAATTCGCAGCCCCCACGGACGACGAGTTCAAATCTGAATCTTTCGTGGGACGTCGCTGCGCTTCACCCCCCAAGTAGCCCGCGAAAGTGGCGACGGTGTCACAGATCGCAGCCAGCCCCTATGCATGGCGAGGTCTGTTGTATATCCGTGGAGGACGTGACTGCGCTGGGCCCCCTTCGCCTAGGACGTCATTGCGTTGGACCTTCCAGAATCCCTCGAAAGCGGCGACAGGCTCAACGAGCGCAGCCCCCCTGGGATGGCGCGGGAGGGGGCGGGTATGGGGCAGGCAGGAGGTAGGAGACAGGAGGAGAGGAGGAGAGAGGGGGGGAAGGAGGACATCGCGGCCGAAACGATTTAGTCAAACCTGAAGCCCATGTATGGTTGGGAAGAATTAGTCATGATTCATTGATTGATGGGTCTACCTCCTTCTACCGATCGATGTGTACCCACCCTCGCCTCTGGGGCCCCACCCCTCCCGATGGATCACATCCTCCATCCGGTGCTGCTACCTGTCATGTTGCTGCTGCTCCCTCTGACGGTGCCCCCGCCGCCCACCGCCGTCGCCTCCCCCCCAAGTTGGACCGACGAGATGCGCATCCGCGACGAGACCTGCACTGTAATGTATGTGGAGGGGCGACGGGTCGGCATGGTGGGATCATGATGGGACTCGGGACCAGTGACCCGATGGACGAGACCTCCGAGAAGAACAATGTTCGCAAACATCACAAACGGTCGGAGTTCCGCGCGGATCTTCTTGGATCGGCACTGGGTGGGCATCCGTGGCGCCAGGGAGGGCTGTTCAGCGTCGGCCCAAGATGTCCGCGCGGACCGACACAATGTTCATGTTGGTGCAGTTTTTTGATACTCTACCTACAGACGATACTCCGCAGATCGTGTCTCTCTTGCATTTTGTGTTTTTCCCCACATCCAAAGTGGGGCTCTTGTTTCTCTGCACACCCCGCGCCGGAACACTCACCCACCCCCTCTCCTCTTCTGCCTTCGCACACTCACTCACTCACTCATCATCATCACCACTCACTCACACTCACACTCACTCACACTTTCTCATCATCAACATCAGCATCATCACTCGCGCTCTCTCACACGCTCAGTCACTCACATAATCATCATCATCATCATCATCATCATCATCATCATCATCATCATCATCATCATCACTCGCACTCTGTCACACGCTCACTCATTCACATACTCACCTGGAGGAAGTCTCAGGCGGGAGTTCGTCTGTGAGTGAATTGTGAGGAAGTCTCAGGCGGGAGCCCCCTCCCTATGGGGCCCGCAGATCATGTTGGTAATCCGAGCGGGTCATCCAAACCCTGTAACTGTCGTCACTTTTGGGCTCCTCAAGCTTGAGTGCGGAGGAAGTCTCAGGCGGGAGCCTCGTCTGTGAGTGAATTGCGAGGAAGTCACAGGCGGGAACCCCTCCCTATGGGGCCCGCGCTTCATGTTGGTAATCCGAGCGGGTCATCCAAACCCTGTAACTGTCGTCACTTTTGGGCTCTTCAGGCCTGAATTTGGAGGAAGTCTCAGGCGGGAGCCTCGTCTGTGAGTGAATTGTGAGGAAGTCTCAGGCGGGAGCCCCCTCCCTATGGGGCCCGCAGATCATGTTGGTAATCCGAGCGGGTCATCCAATTTTTGGGCTCTCGCGCTGCCAGAACGCCATTCCCGGGCCACATTGTGCATGCCCGGAGCCAACTGTAGGCCACTTCGTGTTCTTCGCGTTCCCAGAACACCATTCCCGGGCCACATTTTGAAACCCCGGAGCCAACTGAAGGCCACTTCGTGTTCTTCCTGTTCCCAGAACACCACTCCCGGGCCACATTCTGGATGTCCGGAGCCAACTGTAGGCCACTTCGTGTTCGTCGTGTTCCCAGAGCGTCATTCCCGGGCCACATTTGCGAATTTCGAATCCGAGGAGGGTCCTCGGAATTCGTATGCCTGTCGTCACTTTTGGGTCCCCGCGGCCTGAATATGGCTGTCATGGGCCTGCTTGCTCCAAAGGGCGACTGAGGAGCTGACGACGACGACGACGAGACAGCGGCCGGGCGCAAGGGTATCCTGGAGTTCGACAAGAGAGCGGTTTTGTCCAGGGCGGAGGCGAAGCAGCTCGCGGCAGAGCTGGGCTTCGTGCTGCCCGCCTGAGCGCGGCTGCGCCCCGCTCGAAGCCCGCGGGGTTGTCCCAACGGCTTGGTCTTGCGCGCAAGCGGCTCGCGGGGTTGTCCCGACAGCCTGGCCCGCGGGGTGGTCCCAACGGCTGCGCGACGTGGCCATTAGAAAACGCGCCTGTGCTGGCCGAGGCGGCGACGGCGCCGAGGAAAACCGACATGCGCGCTCGTGCAATGGAAAGGCGAGGCGGTGGCGGGGCGCAAAAAAAACAGGAGGGCGAGGTCGGGGGCAACGTAGGGAGCGGGGGGAGGGCCCGCGCCAGGGCGAGCAGAAATATACGCAGAAGAGACAGTCAGGACGCCTCACCAACCACGAGGACGACTGTGAACGCTTTTTCCAGATTCGCCCAGAGGATTCTCATGTGGGGTCCTTCCGTCGGAATAATTTTGCTGCTTCAGTGTAACATGCTTGCGGCCGCTCTGCTGCGTGCCCATCTGGTGTGGGCGTGGAATCTTCACCTGTGCGCGGAGCGGCAGGCTGCCGAGGCAGCGTATAAGAAGGCGAGGAACGAGGGAGTGGCCGTCTCGGGGCAAGGAAAGGGGAGAGGTTGCGGGGAGCGGGGGAGTGGTGGCGATGTGGTAATTTGTCCCTACGTGTTGTCACTCCTCTCTTTCTCTTTCTTTCTCTCTCTCTCTCTCTTTTCTCTCTCGCTCACTCTTTCTTCCTCTCTCATTTTTTTGTCTCTCTCTCTTTCTTTTTTTTTTTCTCTCTCTCTCTCTCTCTTTCTCCTCTCGATTGTGCATGTCTATACATGTATATCTCACCTTTTCGGTTAAGCATTGAGCTACGTCCACGCCTCAGCTTGCTTCAGTGCGTTCTGCTCGGCCTGACTCTCCGTCGCTGTCGCTATCGCTGGCTGGAGCGTTGGCAGTGGAGGAGCTCTCGGCCCTCCTTGTTGCCAGGCACTGGACAAACATGAGGTGGCTGGGCAGGGCGAGAGATCTGAAAGAACGCCTTCTAACGTTCCTGGCAAGCCAGTCCCCCCGGTTCGAACCGGGATGAGGGGGGTGGGGGGGGGGGATAGAGTTCCGCCCCCCCCCTCCCCGGCCCCGGTTTGGAGGGTGGGACTTAAGGGAAAAGTCCAGGCCCCCCCCCACTGTTCGAGCCCCAGTCTGGTTCGAACCGAGGGTTTGGGAGGAGCTCCCCCTCCCCGGTTGGGACCGATGGGGGAGGAAACAACGCGGAAACAAAGCCCAAACAAAGCTGCAACAAAGCTCCAACACATTCAGACAAAAAACTCCAACGGAGTTCAAACAAAAAGTCGAATATAGCTTCCACATGGCCCGAAACAAAGCTCTAGCCCGCGCGGGCGGGAGCGCCAAGGGGGCAATTGAGGCAAGTAGGGCGCATTTCGAATGGTGGCGCATGACGTCGCCCTTCTCGCACAGGTGCCTGGCCCCGCCGCCAGGAACCTACGAGAGGCCTCTGAGGCCGCCCTGGGCTGTTGGCGATGATGCTGCTGATGATGACGATGATGGTGATGACGAGGAGGAGGAGGATACTGATTCTATTGATGATGCTGGTGGTGGTGGTGGTTTGTGATGATGATGGTGAGGATGATGACGCCCCATCACTGGGTAAAGGTTTCATTTAATGTCCCGCTCGTCCGACTGGCGTCTTCGGTGGTCGTGATATATGTTCCCCAGACCTTGTCCCATCACAGAGTGAAGGTTGCATGAGATTTCCCGCCCGCCCGCTCAACTGAACGTCCCATTACTGAGCGACTCGTAAATGTCCCGCCCGCCTGATCGGCGTACCCAGCGGTTGTGATATAGGGTTTCCCAACCTTGTCACCGAGTGAGGGCTGCATTTCATGTCCTGCCCGTCACCGTCGTAATCGCCGTCGCCGTCGCCGTATCCGTCCTCGTCGCTGTAAACTCAAACGAAACTCAAGCAACCCTCAAACAAAGCTTAGACAGAGCTCCAACAAAGCTCAAACAAGGCTCAAGTCTATATCATACGTAGCCCAAGCGGATCTCAAACACAGGTCAATCCCAGCTCACACATAGTTCAGCAACGTCTCAAGCAAAGCTCACGTAAAGCTCACAAACACGTACCACATCTTGTCCCAGCAAAGCTTCAACAAAGTCCAAATAAGCTCAACAAAAGCTGACTCCAGCACAGCCCCAACAAAGCTCAATCAAAGCGCAATCAAAACCCAAACAACGCTCAGACTAAGCTCAAGCTAAGCTCGAACAAAGCAGACACAAAGCTCCAACAAAGCTCTATCAAAGTTCAAGCAAGGTTCAAGCAACGCACAAGGACAGCTCAAACAAAGCTCTAACAACGCTCAACATCGGTGCAACTTTGGGGCGGGCAGGGGATCGCCTCCCCGCCCTTTCTGGTTCGAACTGGGGGGGGGGGCAGTCTGGACGCCCTCTCCGATCGAACGGGGAACGGGAGAGGAGTCTGTGCCCCCCTCCCCTCCCCCCTGGCTTCCAGGCAGGGCCCCCCCCCCTCTGGTTCGAAGAGGGGGGCGGGGGGCGGGGGGGGAGCTTCCCTGCCCCCCCCTCTTGGTTTCTGGGCAGGGGGGGGGGCACCCCACCCTTCGGTTCACGGGGAAGGGAGGGGGGGGGATTTCCCCCTCCCCCTCCCTCGTGCTTCCCGGAGGGAAATCAGTTTCGCCCCAGTCAACCAGAAAGAAAGCAACATCACTTCCCCTCGCAAATCCGAGTATAAAGTTGCACGTGGCCGCACATTCGCCTCCACGCGTCCACCCACGTGAACCTAGCGGTTTTAGGCCCCCCAGATGCTTCCAGAGGTGACGTCCCCAGAGGCCCCAAGCTGCCTCTAGAGACCCCCGAGGCTTATGCAGGCATCCACACGAACCCACAAGGACAAAACCGTCCAACAAAAACAACCTTCCTGGCAGACACATGTCGTCGTCCAGGCAGCGCTCGGAGTGCTAAAGGAGAGGTTTCTCGGCGCCGTGGCCTCGCCGAGGGAAGCTCGGAGGCTCTGAGGTCGCGCTTCTCGGGCAGTGCCAAGGGTGGTCACCACTCCTCCTCCTCCTCCTCCTCCTCCTCCTCCTCCTTTTCCTCTCCTCCTCCTCCTCCTCCTCCTCCTCCTCCCCTCCCCCTCCCCCTCCCCTCCTCCTCCTCCTCCTCCTCCTCCTCCTCCTCCTCCTCCTCCTCCTCCTCCTCCTCCTCCTCCTCCTTGGGTGACTCAGCAAGTGAAATCGGCCCCAGCGCGTTCGACTCCGACTGTGATGGGCGATTTGAACACAGGCCTCGGCTTGAAGAACGGCGCACGATTGTCTCCACCGAAGTTCGAGGGCGACAACGGGGGTCCGATCGACATTATAGGCGGCCACAACCTCGGCAACCACACCGTCATCCGATATCAGTTTTTTTTGAAGAGTTGGTTCTACTTTACGAGGTGATGAATGTGGACAGCTTCTATCCGAAAGCCGGACCGATATACATACATATATATATACAT